CGACACCGTAGAAATTGATCCAGAAATCACAGAGGCTGATGATGAGGATAACTCAGAGAGAGATGAGCTTGAGAGTGAAACTGATCCTGATTATGATGCAAGTACTGATAGTGAAAGTGAAGATGGTTTGTCTGACTTTGAGTTCTTTGCTGAGGGTGATACATTTAGTGATAGTTGTGATCCTATAGGAGACCATGATGCAGAAACAAATATTTCATATCCAGTATCATATGCTGAAGTTGAAAAAACATTTGTTACAGGAGAAAAAGATATTCAAAGTGATCCAGAAATCCTCACATAACCTAGTGACTCAGATTGTGAGAACACAAGCCTAAAATTTCCAGAGTTTGATGAGGGGTCTTAAATGAAAAATTCAGAACTTGCAGTGGGCCTTGTGTTTGCCAATTCTTTTATATTTAGGAAATCTTTGAGGCAGTTTTCAATTGTGAGAGGATTTGAACTGAAATTTGAAAAAAATGAGAGAAAAGGGGTGACTGCATCTTGTAAGAATAAATGTGGGTGGAGGATACATGCTAGCTTACAGGGTAAGTCCACAACATTTCAGGTGAAGACAATTAAAGGTGAACCTCATAGGTGTCCTAGAGGATTTAGGAACAAGAGTGCCAACTCCACTTACCTTGCAGAGCAGTACTTGGAACATTTTCTTGAAGACCCCTCTATGTCTATTAAATCATTCAGAAAGCTAATGAGAAAAGAAGTGAAGGTGTATGCACATAGGCAAAAGCTATACAGAGCCAAACAAAAAGCCATTGAGAAAGCTCATGGCAATGTGTATGAGCAATACTCTAGAGTGAGGCAGTATTGCCATGAAATTCTAAAAACCAATCCTGGTTCTACTGCAGTAGTTAAGGTTCAGGGCCCTCCAATATACAAAGATCCTAGATTTCAGAGGATTTTTGTATTTTTTGATGCAATGAAAAGAGGTTTTATAGAGGTTTGTAGACCAATTATAGGATTGGATGCTTGCTTCCTCAAGACTCCTTATGGTGGGCAGTTGATAGCTGTTATAGCTAGAGATGGGAATAATCAGATGTTCCATTTAGCTATTGCAGTAGTTGAAAGTGAGTGCAGAGAGAGCTGGACTTGGTTTTTAAATATGTTGATTCATTATGTAACTGGTTTTGATCTAACCTCATGCAACTTCATTTATGATCGACAGAAGGGATTAGTTGAGACTTTTCAATCCATTATGCCAAACACAGATCACAGATTTTGTGTAAGGCACCTGTATGCAAACTTCAAGCTGAAGTTTAAGGATAAGGCACTGAAAGACCTGATGTGGAGTGCAGCAAGGGCTTATTTGGAGGAAGAATTCAATAAGAAAATTGATGAGATCAAAGACTTATCAAATGAGGCTTATGTTTGGTTAAAGAAAATCCCAACCAACTTGTGGTGCAAGCATGCTATCTCAGCAAGGCCAAAGTGTGATCTGTTGAACAACAACTTGTGTGAATCCTTTAACAGCTACATCAAGGAAGCTAGAGAACTGCCCATTCTTACAATGATGGAGGCTTTGAGGAGACAATTTATGTGCAGAATTCAGAGTAAAAGACAATGGATAGAGAAATGCACTACCAAAATTTGTCCTAGGATACAAGATAAATTGAACAGTATCAAAGACAAGGCACTTGAGTTTGAATGTCATATGGCAAATGAGGGGCTGTGGGAAGTGACATTAGGAAATAAGGGTTGGGTTGTGGACTTTAGAAAAAAGTCATGCAGTTGTAAGGAATGGGACATGACAGGAATACCATGTACACATGCCACTTGTGCACTTATGTCTGAGCACAAAGATATAGAGGATTATGTGAGCCCTTATTTCTCTGTTGATAACTACAAGAAATCTTACAGTTATACTTTGACTCATCTGCCAGACCATTCACAATGGTCAATTCCATCAACACAAGCTGAATCACTGCCAATCTTGCCACCTCCATTCAAAAAACAGACTGGCAGACCAAGAAAAATGAGAAAGAGAGGATATGATGAAATCAGTGTTGGAGGCACAGTGACAAGACAAGGAACTGTGCAAACATTCTCAAATTGTGGTGATATCACTCACAACAAAAGAAGGTGCAAGAAGCCTCCTTCACAAAAATCAAGAAGTGCTGAAAGACCAAATAATGTAGAAAGGCCAAGAAAAAGAACTAAGGTTATGTGTTTATATTATTATTGATTAATTCATTTAGAACATTTGATGTAGTTAACTAAAGTCAATAATTTTGCAATTGCAGGCACCTTCATCTTCTGTTAGTGCAACCACTTCAACCCCACATCATACAAGAACAACTGTTGCAGGACAATCCTCTACACCAATACAATCCTCTACACTAACTGGTCCTTCTACACAATCCTCTACACCAGCTGGTCCTTCTACACAACCTGTTAGAGGACAAGGTAGCAAAAGACATGGACAAAAAAACAAGAAACCTAGCAAAAAAAGTGGTCCCCATGCTGGAATTGGTAATTGGAATGGGGTGGGAATGTTCAGACCTCCTATGCAGGTATTTTTCTCTCATCATAAATAATCTGTATTTTCAATTTTGAATAAAATATTACTCATTTGAATGCTATGGTGGCAGAGTGGTGCAAGCCAGAGTGGTGCAAATAATGGGTCTCAAGTTCAAGTAAACAATTTTTCAGATGGGGGAAATATACAGATAACTAATTTATTAAAATGTAACTGATCTTTTATTATACAGTGAATTAATGGTTCATTTTTTTCTCAATAAATGTAGATGCAAGTGCACAATACTAGATTTGGCAATGTGTTCTTCTCCAGCCAGCCAAGATCAAACAGATTTGCTGCCACTTCTGATAATGGAGAAACATGAAATTAAGTGGTATTTTCTGATGTTTCTTAAGATATTGTGTTAATTGAATAAGTTGATTCTTATGTTAGGTTATTATTTTGATATTTGGAAGCCTGCAAACTAGTATTTTAATATTTTGGCATGGCTGTGTATTAGCATTTACATTTTGGTGGATGTGAAGCCTTTATATTTTGGGGTTTGCTATTTAGAACAGACATGGTATTTTGGTATGGCTGTTTAGCCTTTCTATTCAAGTATGAAATGACATTTATTATCTTGCTAATTTCATTGGAAATAGTCTTATTGTAGATACAATAAGTTTCCCTTGTGATATTCTGAGTTCTTTGCAATCAATTTGCATAGGAATATGAAGATGCTAAAAATTGAGAATATCTTCACATATCTCCCTATCTTATTTTTCTTAGAAGCTGCACATTCTAGTGTTTGGACTTTTTCTTCCAAGTGCTTGTTTGCTCTTGTCATGTTTAGAATAATTTCATGAAGTTCCTCATTGTACAATTGCAGCTTTTCATTAGCAGCCTCCATTGACTTTATCTTTTCATTTTTCTCATCCAAAAATTTCAACAAGCCTTGCCCAATCTCCAGCTCCTTTGGACAAATCTCAGGCTCCAACCACTGAAAGTACTTGCAACCACTTGATTTCTGTTAAGAAATTAATAAGTATATTTATACAGTTACAAATACTATTTGTAAATGATGATTGCAATGAATATGAAATATTTTCTTACATCCCAGTTTTCACAGCCTGCAAATCTTCTTCCTGGATTGAGAGGAGTCCAAGTTGTTCGAGTTACAGCATTTTTATGGCACTTGCATGTTGTGCCTAAAAAATTAGACAAATAGTGTCGTGATTTGTGACATGAATGACAATAATCTTGTGAATTTGAGTTATTACTCGACATTTTTCAATATTAAAAAAAAAAGGGATATTAACGTGCTTTATAAGAAGGAAAAAAGAAGGGAAAAATAGAACATGAAGAAATTTAGAGAAAAAATGATGAAGAAAAAAGTTTTTGAAAACCTCTATAACCCACACAAACATATATATATACTAGTATAAGGGGCAAAAGGGTCAAAAAATGTTCCAACGGGTATAAAAACGGCTAGTAACAGTAATGTCCATGTGCCACGTCATCATCCACTAACAGATTCGAAACGGAGGGGCCATTTTGTCACGTTTTGTAGTCCAGGGGGGTGTTTGCGACAGACCCCATAGTTCAGGGGTGCAAACTGTAGTTTCCCCTAATTTTTTTGGCTATTTATTATATTTGCATTTGTTGAACGGTCAACATATTAATATTACTCTATTACACAATAATGGTGAGTTTTGTTGTGTTAATATTACTGTGATAGAGAGTAATATAGCTATATTACTATGTTAAATTGTAGTATAGTTAATATTATTGTGTTAAACAGTAATATAATAAATATGACTGTCAACTACATCAATGTTACTGTTTAAACGGGAAAAAAGATGTTGAAGAAACAGAAAAAAAAAAAAGTCAACGACGCCGGAGACCGGCATTAACCGCTGGTCATTGGCGGTAGAAAGGAAAAAAAAAGAAGAAAAAAATAAAAAGAAAGAAAGTCAATGGCGGCGACGGGCAAAATTGTACTAAAAATTGAGTTTTGTGTCAAAATTGAATAATTTGTGAAATTTGAGATCAAATTAAGGTTAAATTAAATTAAAGGATGAAATGGGAGCATATTAAAATGTGAAGGGATATTTTAGTCTTTTACACACCTCTGGATAATGTCTGGACTTTATTGTAAAAAAAATATTATTTGGACCCCTTTATGAATAAGTATCACATGATGGGTTTATTCGTAATGGATCCTTAATTAATAAGGTAAATTATACGAACCCCGTAGAACTTGTTACGACTTACGAGACCCAATACCTTACGCTGAAGCAAGATCGAAAACATCAAAAAACAAAGGATTCAGGTTGGCGGAAGCAAGGAATAATGACCCCATAGCTATAAAGAGCTAGAAACCATTATTATCAAGGTGGAATATTGACTCCGTGGTTATAAAAAGCTAGAAACCATTATTATCAAGGTGGAATATTGACTCCGTGGTTATAAAGAACCAGAAACCAATATTATGTCGCTAAGAAAATTACAAGAATCCCCTTGTAAGATCCCGAAGTTACTGTAGAACAGCGAAGGAGAATTGACCTCTCAAAATACTCAATTATTTATTATAATTCGTCCATAATAAAAGGCCAAATTGGCAACCTATTTATAAGTGCTAAAAAGACTCATTTTTCACAAGGAAAATGACTCCTACCTAATCTATAATAAGGAAACTTATAAATAAGAAAATTCTAACCATAAAAGATTCTAAAAAAATAAAAATATAATAAATCCTAAAATAAAAGCGGAATAAATTAATTAAATAACTTGGTCCTCAAGTCAACTTCCCGATCCTTCTTAACTCGCGTAGACATTGGATTGTGCACGTCTAAGCTCTTCAAGCTCGATTTTGGTTACCGTTCCACTTCGAATCTCTCTTTCGTCAAAACATGAAAGTTTTAGATCTTTCAGTTAGCTTTACGAATCATTTTGAATCAGATTAAGTGAACTACGGACGAGAGAGTTATAACTCGAATGTTAAACTCTGCCAGAATCATACATGACTTTCGGGGTGCTTGAAATTCGACTTGTCTAACGAATTTCCTTTTTCATTTCTTCCAATTCCAAACCATTAACTCTTCAACAATCTCATTCAAACATTTATCTCCAATGACATCTCGGATAACCTCTCTAAACTCATACGCTTGCGCTTCTTCCAATTCATCATCTTTGAGCTTGTGTGGATCACGTGGCAATATAAAAAGAAAGTCCAATTTTATTTTAACATGTTGAGAAAAAAAAAATCACTTTCTTTTGATAACGTGATGTAGTAGTATGTTACAATTCGTGAGATGTGGAGCGATCGAGACCTCCATGCATGCGATTATAGAATGCGAATATATTAAGGATGTATGGCAGAGCTATCCATTTCAGACTTTGTGTTCGGGTCCCTCTCAAAATTTTGAGTGTTGGCTAAATCATATGAAAAACACTCTACAAGAAGACCAACTACTGTTGGGTCTCATTGTCTGTTGGAAGCTTTGGGATGTGCGCAATCAGACTTTGCATGGCGAAGAAACGACGGCCAAGGAAAATATTATCAAGTGGTGTGTGGATTATCTCAACCTATTCAAACAAGCGAATACCATTTTGCACAATAGCCATCGTCCATCACACCCATCCACGTGGCTACCTCCGACGCAAGGCTTTATCAAACTCAACGTGGACGCGGCATTTCCGGTGGGTAAGGATTTCTTTGTTACTGCTTTGGTAGCTCGCAATTGGCTTGGTGAATGTGTATGGTGGTCGGTAGAAACATAATTCGCCAGTCCATGGTGAAGCAAAAGCGGTGCTTCAAGCATTAAAGTTAGCTTGAAATAAAGGATGGGAATCAATTATTATCGAAGGCGATAACTTATTGGTAACGGAAGCACTTATAGAGCAGGATCACAGTCATGTATCATTTGGTGCTTTGATAGAAGAGACTTTGAGTCTGGCTAATGTTTTTCGTCATGTTTCGTTTCAATTCATTAAACGTGCTGGAAATAGTCTAGCTCATGCTTTAACTCAGTTGTATGATTACTCATGTTTGGAAGGGATTGATCTTCCTCCAAAGTTGGCACAGTTTGCCTAATAATATGGTTATTTCATTTATAAAAAAAAAGTATGTTACAATTATGCCTTCATTTTCAAAAAAAAAAAAAAGTTATGCCTTCAATAAATACATTTATAGTATGGGTGGAAATTGGAGTTGATCAGAAATTGCTTTTACAAAAAAATACTTTCCGCAAGTAGAAAATATCTTCTAATTTTCATTTCGAAAAAATTGGAATGCAAAAATTCATTCCGATTTCGAAATATCTTGAAATCAGTGGAATTTCAAAAATTTCGGAAATTATATTAGTTTATAATTTCTTGTCACAAATCCGGATATAATGAGAATTTTTCATAATATTTTTCACAAAAGACAGTTCGACAAAATGCAATAAATAAAACCACATATTGGAACAACAAATTTAAACAAATATTTTCTCATAAGAGAGTTAACAAATATTTTCTCATAAGAGAGTTTCTGATACCAATTAATCTTTTCTAAGTTATATTTTCGGTATTTATATTTTTCCTATAAAATATAGCATAAGTTATATTATGGAATTACAAAATATAATAAAAACTTACATTATATATTTCGAAAAAAAATCGAAATATTCGAAACTAAAATCGGATCGAAAATTAGAATTTCCTGTAATTTTGTATACAATTCGGGTTTTGTTCCAAGTTCCAAATATATTCGGAAAAATCAATAATTAGTCAATAAAAATTTTGGAACGAATAAAATTTTTTGTTCTAAAATTAAATCGAATTAATTTGGATTAGTTGAAATTGAATTAATAAATTAGTCAGTGAAAAAATAATTCAATCTCATCCAATCTAAATTAATTCGATTCATAGAGAAATCAAATGCTACAGTCTCATAAAAAAGTATATGAGCGATTAAAGATTTCCAAAGGGACCAAATAGTCCACAGTGCAAAAAACAAACTTCTACAAAAATTGAAGAGAAACAAATAAATTCTAAAGATCTTTATTTAGTTTAAAATCCACACGAAAACACGTTACACTTCGGAGTCCTTCAGGAGTAGATCTTGTAGCAACTGGGCTATATCCGCCTCATATCCGCGACGAGTCTGCATCTAATAACAAAAAAAAAAAGAAAAAAAAAACAAGGTGTCAATTAAAAAAAAATAGATTACAAAATACGAGCGCTATTGTGGGATAAAAGTTGTTGCCGAACTTGAGATTCATCCGAAACCATTGGAGCCTGTAGTTGCTGAACGCGATTTTGCATTTGGATTTGCACGCTTTGAGATGCTGCGAAACAATGCATGTCAGTAACTGCATGATAATAAAAAGAGCAAATGAAAACAAATTTCATTCATATATATATTATATATGCGAGGTAGATATCATCAATCAATATCACATGTTTTAGAATGTCAATGCCGTACTACTTATTACTCGTAAATTTGATCAAACGCTATTCTCGCAAAGGGTAGTTTAGTCATATTTTACATATTGTTTTTTTCTAAAAACAAAGGGAAGTAGAAACATTTTGTAATTTTAATGTATATCAGCTCGGAATATTCTTTACCTGGTTCTTGGGGGTTTTCGCTATTTCTTGCAGCATTAGACGACTGACGAGAATTTGCCGAAGAATCCCGGGATTTTGCATCCATTGTCAGCATTTTCACACTTATCATCATCAAGTAATTCGACTGCAAGAGTACGGTGTGTAAGGAAAAGGTCAAGGCAAATATATATATATATATATATATATATATATATATATATATATATATATATATATATATATATATATATATATATATATATATGAAGGAGAAACGAACATGAGTATACCTGACTTGTTGCTTTCGTGTACATCTTCTCCTCAAAATTAACAGCTAGTCGTTTAAGTTCGTCTAGTTCTCCAGAGAAAGGAAGATACATCTTGAGATGCTCCATTCTTAAGTGTTAAAGAATATATGCAGCATTGAATTAAAAGTCACCTGGTAAAACGTAATCTTACGGAAGCAGGGAAAGATGATAGTAGAGTACGTACGTCTCTTCATTCGTGTTTCGATCAAGACAAGTAAATACTTTAGGGATGCTTTCGAACGATTCTTCTTATTGACAGTATTATATTATGATGTAATCGTTTTTCCAAAACAAGTACTAAAATTGATGTAATCAAATATCAAGTTTATGACAAAAAAGACAAGGACAGTGTATAGAAGAGACGACGAGACAACATTTTTATTCTACACGAAATAACTACATTGCATATGCAAGCACATCAAAGATCATGCTACAAAATCTTTTTTTTTTTTTGTTTTTTTTGTTTTTTTTTAAATCTCTTCACCAATCTTCGCCGGGGCTATAAACGAAATAAACCAAACTTTACCATCTTCAGCCCAACTTCTCTACGAATATCATTTGCATCTCTTATACACAACAAACTCGTAACTCTAACAAAATTAAGTGTACATAATTTCTTCAGGCTAAAGAAGCAAAATCGAATTGCGGAATAACAGTTCTCTCAAACTCATATACTATAGTAGAACATCGATAAATAAATTAATAACCTCGATTAAATAATAAATCCTTCCGGTCACAACTAGGTGAGAGCGTGCTAAATTATTAACTCGATAATTTAATGTTTCGCTTAATTAATAGAATTTCCCTAGTCGCGACTGTATTAATTTATAGAGGTTTAACTGTATAACTATAATATCAGTTATTTGGCAGCTTCAGAAATAAGTTCATGGTTTCGATTTTATAACTAATAGAAAACAATTCAACATTAACAGAATAAAAATTAAATGCTCAAAACTAGCACGTGTTGTAATAAGTAAAATTAAAAAAAAAAAAAAAATTGAAAAAAAGTAAGGGGAGAATTCAAGGAATTTACATCTTGTTTACAATCTTCTGTCTAGAAGTCGCTGATAGATGATTCCTCCAATCACTGCCTTCTGTTCCCGCAGCCGCCGCCGCAACGCCGCCCATAACCTGGCCAGGAATCTGAGCCTGTCCTTGGGCTGCCGCCCCCAAATTACTGCCATCCATTTTTACTTGATTAAAAGAATCTGTAAATATCAAACAACTAAATAATCACGCCGTAGAATCAAAAGAAATTATATAAAAAAACAAGTACGAAGATTTTGATTTGAGGGAATGGAGATCGCCGATAAATTAGGGTGAAATGTGTTTCTTACGCGTCCTGATAAGAGGAAATCTTCGTAATTGAATTCAACGAATTAAGAAAAAAAGTAAGTCTAATAATAAATAGAAAGAAGGCGAAGCCAAATTAAATCAATTAAATCTAGCTTGATCTTCGCGCGGTTTTGAAGGGCAGACAACCTACGGAACCTATTCAAATTTTTATTTTGTGGGGCCAAATAAAAAAAGGAAAAAAAAAAACCACTTTCTAGCCATCATGAGGTTTAGTCAAATAGATAATCTCATAATAGCCCAATGTCGGGCCCCTTACTCGGTGACATCGGCTATGGTTCGAGTGTAGTCGAGTTGTAGCCAATAATGGCGCCAAGTGATGGATGACACAAGGCAGCCACATATCGGCCAATGGATGGTGAAGTATTGAGAATGCATTGAGGGTGTTGATAGGGAGTGTTTGGCAAGTGGCATGGGGAAGTCTCGACGGTTCTTGGAGCTTGGCACGGGCGTTGCTCGGCAAGCCGCATAGGCAGAGGCGGACCTAGACCTTAACATTATTAATAGCTCAAATTATAATTTAACATTAATGTTTTCTGAACCCAAAATTTACCAGTTGACCCTAATGTTGATCGAGTCGGGGTTGTTGACCGGCGTTGACATTAAGAAAAGTTTTGTTAATGTTTTTTTTCTATAAATGTTTATTTTTTCACGCCAATATTAGTATTGACCGGTCAATACAGTAACATTAATATTTTTTTACAGTTTTTTCTTTGCGACAATTATGTTGTGGTCACTTGTAAAATAGGGTTGTTATGTTGTTTTCAATAGTAAAATAGCGCTAATATATCGTGGTCAATAGTAAAATTGCACTATTATGTTGTGGTAAGTAGTTAAATAACCCTATGTTAAGGTCAACAATAACACAGTGTTATTATGCATTGTCAACAAAGATTTTAGTTGACTATTTTGCAAATTAAGTTGCCTTCTAGGGCGTATAAGAGATGTGACCTGATACGAGGTAACAAAATCGTTGATTTTGTCAAGTTAGACCCGCCCCAAGGAAAAAGAAAAAACGAGGTGCTCACTTCGGACCTCGATGGAGAGTGCCCCCGCCACCACCTCTCAAAAGAGGATCGGATATTCAAATAATATTAGGAGGACACCGTGGCTAAAGAAGACATATCGGGGAAATAAAAAAAGGAGGAAAAGTATGTCAAATCGCGTACCCGGCTACCATCGAGTTTGGACCATAAGACATTCTAGGGACTATTGGAGCCTACATTGATCCCTTTCCAAGGGCTAGGGTGGACTAAGCCCACCCTCACTTCC